CAAACCCCACAGGGTTTTTGTGAACCATAATACATCACACACCATGACCACAGAACACATCACTCCAGTCTGGACAGAACATCTGCGAACACGTTCTCTGAGCCTTTCTTGTGTCGGATTTGCAGGTTGTAGTCCTGAACGATCAGAGCCCACCGCATGAGACGCTGATTGTGGTTGTACATGCGGGACAAAAAGACAATGGGGTTATGATCGGTAAACACTGCAACCGGCAAAGAACTAGACCCGACATAAACCTCAAAGTGCTGGAGAGCTAACAACAAAGCAAGGGTCTCCTTTTCAATGGTAGAGTAGCGTACCTGGTGTTTGTTGAACTTACGGGAGAAATAGCAGACAGGATGATCAACTCCCGCCGCATCTTCCTGCAGTAAAACAGCACCGGCCCCCACTGCACTAGCATCCACCTCGAGTTTAAAGGGCTTCGCAAGATCGGGAGCAGCGAGCACAGGAGCGTGACTCAAAAGTGTCTTTACACACTCAAACGCATGCTGGCACTCAGCGGTCCAAACATATTCCACCTTGGGACTTATCAACCTAGTTAGGGGTTGAGCTACAGTGGAGAAGTTACGGCAGAAACTGCGGTAGTAGCCTGCCATACAGAGGAAACGGCGGAGATCACTCCTGGTGCCGGGCACCGCACATTCAGCCACCGCAGTAACCTTAGCCTCCACTGGTCTAACTTGGCCTTGCCCAACCTGCTTTCCTAAATAGGTGACCGTAGCTTTACCAAACTCACATTTGGCCAGATTCAAAGTAAGAGACGCCTGTGCGAGCCGGGTGAATACCTGCCCCAGAATCTTCATGTGCATCTCCCATGTGGGCGTGTACACAATGAGGTCATCCAAATACGCGTTACAATGGCTTATTCCGGAGAGGACAGTATTCACCAATCTTTGAAATGTAGCGGGAGCGTTACACATACCAAACGCCATTACTGTATATTGCAGGAAACAGTCAGGCGTAGCGAAAGCGGAGATTTTTGAGGCACGGTCCGTTAAAGGTACCTGCCTTTAAGTAGGTCCAATTTACTGACAAATTTAGCGGAACCTAAATTATCAATGCAATCCTCCATTCTCGGCAATGGGTAGCAATCTGTTACCGTAACAGCGTTCACTTTACGGTAGTCCGTAATAAATCGCGGAGAACCATCAGATTTCGCCTCTACAAGACACGGCGAACACCATGGGCTAGAGCTCTGTGTCGCCAGGCCATTTGCTACAAGATAGTCAGCCTCCTGTTGCATAAGTGCGCGTTTGGTGAGATTGGCGCGGTACGGATGTTGTTTGATTGGCCTCGCACCTTTTACATCAATGTCATGTTTTATCACATTAGTTTGGGTGGGGACATCATGGAAAAGGCACGGGAAATCATCCACCAACTGGGTTACGTCATTCTGCTGGCTCTCCTGCAGATGACCTAACGTGGTCGGCAATGTCTCTACCATCTCCGAGTTGCATAACCGCGCACCCGGCTGGTGATGTGAGCGCATCACCAACCCGTCGTCAGAGGAGCCGGAACTATCTACCACTATTAACGCCGAAGCAGCCACTCTTTGATTACATGAGCCGGCTGGCGTACTATCAGTGACGGTGCGTGCATGATATCGCTTCAACATGTTTACATGGCAGACACGCGTTGTTCGTCGTCTCTCGGGAGTACCAATCACGTAATCGGTGTCGCTGAGGCAATCACGGATTTCATACGGCCCGAGGAATTTGGCTGAGAGCGCAGAGCCGGGGATAGGTAATAGTGCGAGGACCTTGTCACCTATGTCAAAGTGCCTAGGGACAGCGGCACGGTCATAATTTCGCTTCATAACCGCTTGTGAAGCGGAGAGCGACTCTCTGGCGAGTGAATTTGCTCGGTGCAAACGCTCACGGAACTGACTAACGTAATCTAGTACGTTCGTATCTGGAGGAGTATCAGCCGAAAGAAACTCATCGTGTAGGATTTTAAGTGGACCGCGGGGCGTATGGCCGAAAACGAGCTCCGCGGGACTGAATCCTAATGACTCCTGAACAGCTTCACGGGCTGCGAACAAAACGAAAGGAATTCCCTCATCCCAATTTTTTTCTGTCTCCATACAGTATTTTCGCAACATACTCTTTAAAGTCTGATGCCACCGTTCTAATGCCCCCTGCGACTCTGGATGATACGCACTGGATATCACATGTTTAACCTGCAGTGTTTGTAGGACCTGTTTGAACAATTTAGATTTAAAATTTGTCCCTTGGTCACTTTGGATTACTCGCGGAATTCCAAATGTAGAAAATAACTTCGTCAAGGCCTTAACTACAGATGTTGAAGTAATGCTACGCAGCGGAATCACTTCCGGAAAACGAGTCGCCGTACACATTATCGTGAGTAAATACTGTTGACCTGTTTTCGTACGTGGTAAAGGACCAACACAGTCTATCAACACCCGGTCAAAGGGCTCACCTATAGCTGGTATGGGATGTAACGGAGCCTGCGGAATTTTTTGATTAGGCTTACCGACAACCTGGCACACATGACAGCAGCGGCAGAAGCTAGAGACATCTTTCTTTAAACCTGGCCAAAAGAAATGCTTCAGAATTACTTGATACGTTTTAGTCACGCCCAAGTGTCCCGACCATTGACTTTCATGCGCGACAGATAGCACATGTTGACGGTATGGCACCGGCACGACTACTTGATGCACTACACTCCAGTCAGCTTCAGCAGTAGCAGTGAGGGACCATTGGCGCACTAATATCTCCTTATCCAACACATAAGCCACCTTCTCACCCCTTGCTTTGTCATTACTCACCACCTGCTCGAAACACTTCACAAGCGTCGGATCCGCCCTCTGCGCGGCGAGTAAACGCTCTCGGGTTACCGGGAGTGTGGAACCGTCAACCGCTGGGCTGGCAGGGTGCGCTGGTGCAGCGGTTCCAGCCGGGAACGCGGAGGATGCAGAAACCTCCACTGCTGGCTTTTCCTCCGGTATTTTGTCCTCTGTGAATATTTTCCCAAACATAGTATCATCTAGAGACACCTCCGAGTTACTCTTACGCGCTTGCGCGCGAGTGACAGCACAAATAGGGAAAATGTGGGCCTGGGTCACTTCAGGCACTACAAGCTGAGGAGAATCCAATATTTCTAATGCAGGGGTTACCTTACCCCCTGCGATGACATTTCCCATTAGGAAAACTATACCCCTTATGGGTAATGCTGGGCACACAGCAACAGGGAAAAATCCAGTAATTAATTTACATTGTACATGTACATTATGTACGGGCCGGGGCACATAACCCATTTCAATGCCACATAAAGTCGATCCATACCCACACGCTGATTGTTCGGAAAATGGTAGAGCCGAGGCAACAATCACTGACTGTGAGCCTCCCGTGTCTCGTAGTATGCGGATGGGTCTCTGATCGTCTGACTCACCTGTTAGTGAAATCAATCCCTCGAACACAAAAGGCTTAAAACAGGGATCTATTTCCTCCGCATTGTCAGGTGTGGAAATACTGAGTGAGTTAGTGTTAATCAAGCCGATGCCTTTCGGCCTGGTCACGTTTGGTGACTGCTCCTTCCGCTTCAGCATTAGGCAATTATTAATGAGATGCCCAGGCTGATGACAATAGTGACATTCTCTCCCCTCTTTGTCCCTCGTAAACACTCTCGCGGGCTGACCAACAGGTGCACCCGACATGCGGCGCGAGTTCTCAGCAATAGCCGGAGAAAACACCGTTTTATGCATCAACACATATTCGTCTGCCAGCACAGCAGCTGCGGAGAGAGATTGCACTTTCTGATCATTTATATGCCCCACAATACGGTCAGGTAATCCCCTCTTAAAGTCCTCCATCAGGATTAATTCTTTAAAGGCAGAATACTCTGCAGCGTCACATGAATCAATCCATTTATGGAGCAACATCCCCTTCTCCCTGGCATACTCGACATGTGTTTGATTAGCCCCCTTTCTGTGATTCCTGAACTTCTGCCGATAAGCCTCGGGAACTAACTCGTACACCCTAAGTATGGCACGCTTTACCAGGTCGTAGCTTAGGCTGTCCTCCAGTGAAAGAGCAGCAACCGCCTCCTGAGCTCTCCCGTGAAGTTTACACTGCACTAACAGAGCCCAGGCGTCAGTCGGCCACTGTAATGCCGCTGCCATGCGTTCAAACGCACCAAAATACGCATCCACTTCAGCCTCACGGAAAACCGGCACCAACACAACATTTTTCCCTACATTGAAGGCAGGTGGATGAGAATGAGGTGAGGAACTTCCTCCGACATGGCCAAAAGCACCGGAGGCACGCAGCTCGGAGTCTAGCTCCAGCTGACGTATCCGCACTTCCTTGTCAATTTCTAACTTTCGTAGCTCCAGCTGTAACTGCCTGGCTTTCTCCCTGTCGTTAGCTTCCCACTGACGCTGCCTGTCCTTGGCTTCCAACTGGAGCCGGACGAGACGGACCTTGAGTTTAGCCCCCTCCCGGGAATCTGTACTACCAACAGGAGAGGGTGGACATCTGCGAGGTGACGTGAGCGGTGCCTCACACGGCTCGCCCCCCTCGCTGTCACTACCCCTTCCTTCAGTAAACGTAAACTCTGCCTCAGTCTCTGGACGCAACAGGCCCTCAGTGGGAACATCGGACACTGGGAGCTCAGCTGGTACAGCCAGTACAAGTACCTCTCTTCGCACCATCTCATCAACCACCAATGCCTTCAACTCTTTTTTTAACATTTGCCGATTTACCACTAGACTGAAGTGCCGCGCTATCTCCATCAAATCATCCTTTCTACACCGGTCCAGCTGCTCATAGGACGGCCAGACCAAGAACGCCTCTATATCGAACGATGCCATACCTGAGTGTACCGCCCACACGTTTACCAAGTTTACTGCCACAATAAACCCACCTATAACCCCAGGAATTGTTTTAAATTTATCCCGGACGAGTCCCCACGTGTTACGTTCCCACTTGGCTAGGGTACAAACGGGAAACTACACGACCAGATTGGATTTGGTATATTTGTTACCGGTGGTTTTATTGTCACTGAAACTAGGCAAAATGATGGTCACACAGATTGGCCCCACAACACGGGTCAATCTGTCACTATAATACAACACGAAGGGTCTCCAAAAGAGAGTTGCCCCGCTATAGAAAGAAAAACAAATCTCACTACTCAAGTGGAAACAAGCAATAAACAAAACGGGACTGTGGAAACACACAGCTGGTGCGGGTCTACAGGTGCTAATCACCTGGCTCTACGCAATATCCACTCACAGGAACGCTGGTCTACAGGTGCTAATCAACCTGGATCTAAGCAGTATAAACACACAGGAATGCTGGTCTACAGGTGCTAATCAACCTGGATCTAAGCAGTATACACACACACAAAATCCCTACGCTAACACAGAACCCGACGACACATTGCTACTCAGTGTGCTCGCCTAGAACCCTACTATAGACACTGCTAATCAGTGGAGCTAATACCAAAGACACACGCTAAATCTCAGAATTCACAGAATGAAGGCTTATCACAAGGATAGGGTTGAGGCATCTGACACAAAATACCGAGCCTCCCGACTGTTGTCCGTGCTCAGCCTTTATACTCCTCCCCCGGATGACGTGGCAGAAGCGAGCAGGGGTTGGGCGACGTCTGTCCAATCCCCACGGATGTTGAGCGGTCCGGACGGCCAATGACAGCAGAGGAACTGCACAGCTCATTTACATACACAAACAGACTTAAGCTCACAAGGTAGCAGCGGCTGTAACAGGCTCCTAAAAGAAGGAGTCGCAAGGCCAGGTTAGCAGCACGAGCCCAAAGGGCCATGGTTCCAGCCCCAGTTCTGGCCCGAGCAGCCATGGTTCCGGCCCCTGTTCTGGCCCCAGTAGCCATGGTTCCATACCCAGTTCTGGCCCCAGCAGCCATGGTTCCGGCCCCAGTTCTGGCCTCAGCAGCCATGGTTCCGGCCCCTGTTCTGGCCCCAGTAGCCATGGTTCCAGCCCCAGTTCTGGCCCCAGCAGCCATGGTTCTAGCCCCTGTTCTGGCCCCAGCAGTTATGTTCCGGCCCCAGTTCCGGCCTCGGCAGCCATGGTTCCGGCTTCAATTCCGGCTCCAAAGCCGGCCCACACAGCCATGATCCAGGCTTCAGCTCCGGACCTTACGGCCATGTTTCCGGCTCCAGAACTGGATCTTACAGCCATGTTTCCGGCTCCAGAACCGGCCCATGCAGCCATGATTCCGGCTCAAGTACTGGGCCCAGCAGCCATGGTTCCGGCCCCAGTTCCAGCCATGGTTCCGGATCAAGTACCGGCCCCAGCAATCATGGTCCTGACTCCGGCTCCTCGTCACCTGTTGACTCATCGGCCGACGCCAGATCCCGGAGTCCTGTCGGCATACCGGCCGACTCCAGCACCTCGTCTCCTGCTGGCTCTCCAGCCAACGCCAGCTCCCCGTGTCCTGTCGGCGTACCGACCGACACAAGTTCCCTCTCTAGTCCCCTCTCAAGTCCTCTCTCGAGTTCCCTCTCGAGTCTCCTCTCAAGTCCCCTCTCGAGGCTCCTCTCGAGTTCCCTCTCAAGCCCTCTCTCGAGTCCCCTCTCGAGTTCCCTATCGAGTCCCCTCTCAAGTCACCTCTCGAGTCCCCTCTCGAGTTCCCTCTCGAGTCACCTCTCGAGTCTCCTCTCAAGTTCCCTCTCGAAATTCCTCTCAAGTCAACTCTCAAGTTTCCTCTCGAGTCCCCTCTCGAGTTCCCTATCGAGTCCCCTCTCAAGTCACCTCTCGAGTCCCCTCTCGAGTTCCCTCTCGAGTCACCTCTCGAGTCTCCTCTCAAGTTCCCTCTCGAAATTCCTCTCAAGTCAACTCTCAAGTTTCCTCTCGAGTCCCCTCTCGAGTTCCCTCTCGAGTCTCCTCTCAAGTTCCCTCTCGAAATTCCTCTCAAGTTTCCTCTCGAGTCCCCTCTCAAGTCACCTCTCGAGTTCCCTCTCTAGTCCCCTCTCGAGTCTCCTCTCGAGTTCCCTCTCAAGCCCTCTCTCGAGTCCTCTCTCTCTCGAGTCCCCTATCGGGTCCCCTCTCGAGTCTCCGTTCAAGTTTCCTCTCGAGTTCCCTCTCAAGCCCTCTCTCGAGTTCCCACTCAAGTCCCTACTCATGTGCCGTTGGAGGTCCCGCAGACTACTCTTCTGCTGGGGGTCCTGCCAACCCCATGTCCTGAGCCGTTGGAGGTCTCGCAGACTGCTCTTCTGCCGGGGGTCCTGCCAACCCCATGTCCTGTGCCGTTGGAGGTCCCGCAGACTGCTCTTCTGGCGGGGGTCCTGCCAACCCTATGTCCTGTACCGTTGGAGGTTCCGCTGGGGGTCCTGCCAACCCTTTGTCCTGTCCCGTTGGGGGTCCTGCCGACTACTCTCCTGCTGGGGGTCCTGCCAACCCTATGTCCTGTCCCGTTGGGGGTCCCGCCGACTACTCTCCTGCCGGGGGTCCTGCCAACCCTATGTCCTGTCCCGTTGGGGGTCCCGCCGACCACTCTCCTGCCGGGGGTCCTGCCAACCCTATGTCCTGTCCCGTTGGGGGTCCCGCCGACTACTCTCCTGCCGGGGGTCCTGCCAACCCTATGTCCTGTCCCGTTGGGGGTCCCGCCGACTACTCTCCTGCCGGGGGTCCTGCCAACCCTATGTCCTGTCCCGTTGGGGGTCCCGCCGACCACTCTCCTGCCAACCCTATGTCCTGTCCCATTGGGGGTCCCGCCGACTACTCTCCTGCCGGGGGTCCTGCCAACCCTATGTCCTGTCCCGTTGGGGGTCCCGCCGACTACTCTTCTACCGGGGGTCCTGCCAACCCTATGTCCTGTCCCGTTGGGGGTCCCGCCGACTACTCTTCTGCCGGGGTCCTGCCAACCCTATGTCCTGTCCCGTTGGGGGTCCCGCCGACTACTCTTCTGCCGGGGTCCTGCCAACCCTATGTCCAGTGCCGTTGGAGGTCCCGCCGACTACTCTTCTGCCGGGGGTCCTGCCAACCCTAAGTACTGTGCCGTTGGAGGCCCCGCCGACTACTCTCCTGCCGGGGGTCCTGCCAACCCTGTGTCCTGTCCCGTTGGAGGCCCCGCCGACTACTCTTCTGCCGGGGGGTCCTGCCAATCCCTTGTCCTGTTCCGTTGGAGGTCCCGCCGACTACTCTTCTATCGGGGGTCCTGCCAACTCTATGTCCCGTGCCTTTGGAGGTTCCGCTGGGGATCCTGCCAGCTCTATGTCCAGTCCAGTTGGAGGCCCCACCATCTCCTGTCCTGCCTTGAACTCTGCCTTGCCCCCGGGCCGTCCGCCCGAGTCCCCCTTTTTTAACTCTGCCTTGCCCCCGGGCCGTCCGCCCGAGTCCCCCTTTTTGAACTCTGCCTTGCCCCCGGGCCGTCTGCCCGAGTCCCCCTTTTTGAACTCTGCCTTGCCCCCAGGCCGTCCGCCCGAGTCCCCCTTTTTTAACTCTGCCTTGCCCCGGACCGTCCGCCCGAGACCCCTTCCTTGAACTCTGCCTTGCCCCCAGGCCGTCCGCCCGAGTCCCCCTTTTTTAACTCTGCCTTGCCCCGGACCGTCCGCCCGAGACCCCATCCTTGATCTCTGCCTTGCCCCTGGGCCGTCCGCCCGAGACCCCTTCCGGGTCCTCCGCTGTCAGCCCAAGCCCGTCCTCCAGACCCCCTCCACCCACCCTGTTGGCCTTAGTTTTGCGGCTGCTGTTCTGGGCACGCACACACATTGCTCTCATCAGAGCAATGTATATTCCCGGCGAATTGAACAGAGGGGCTCGCAGTGCGCAGCAGCCGTGTTAGGCGAGGAGTACGGAGACTCAGACCTGTGTCACGCGCACTGGCGCCTCAGTGGAATTTGGCTTTGGTGTTACGCGCACTAAGCAAAGCCCCATTTGAACCTTTAGACCAGGTTCCCCTTAAACTGTTGTCAGCCAAAGTAGTATTACTTTTGGCTCTATCAGCAAAAAGGGTGAGTGATTTGTCTGCTCTCTCTGTGGCTCCGTCATGCCTCCGGATCCAAGGAGATGGCAGTTCAGCTGTTTTACGCCCTAACCCGGCTTTTATGCCAAAGGTCATCACAAGCTCTTTTAGAGTCGAGAGTGATCACCTTGGATGGCTTCTTTCCCCCTCCTCACAGGTCGGAGGAAGAAGCCGCGTCTCATCTCTTCTGTCCTGTGCGCGTGCTGTCCTGCTAGTGGCTCGCACGGCTGCCTTGCGCCATTCTCAGCACCTGTTTGTGCATTATAGAGAGCGCTCGATCGGGCAGCCTCTGTCTGCACAACGGCTGTCACACTGGCTGTGTGAAGCTGTGTCACAGGCATATGTCTCCTCTGGGGTGGATCCCCCGGAGAACATCAATGCGCACTCCACCAGAGGAATGTCCTCCTCCACGGCTTTGCACGGAGGAATGTCAGTGGAAGACATTTGCACTGCTGCATCTTGGTTCCTCCTGTTAATTTATTCAATTGTATTTGAGGGATGTCTCCCATTCCTCTCTGACACACCCTGTACGGAGTGTCTTGTCAGAGTGAGTGACGTCAGGGATCCAGCCGTGCGCTCTCCTGCCTGTCTGCACGCAGAGAGCTGCTGTTCCCCCTCTTCTTGTCACTGGGCAAAGTATGACCTTCGTCTCTACTTTTTCACAGCGGCAGGTATGTATTGTTCCCAGCCTTCGTCCCCTCATGGAAAAGATTCATGTTATGCTATATTCCAGGGACGGCGATGCGCCATTACGCATGGCGCAATAGGCATGGGTTGTTATTGAGCAGGTGTGTCTGTGCTTCTAGTACCGGGCGGACCCAGTGGGGCGCAGACTACATCATGCTTCGCCATTAACCCAATAGCGATAGCCTTAGAGGGCGAAGCCTATACGAAATAGAACTGAAGTTACCTACTGTAACTCCAGCTTCTATGAGTGTTGGCGAAGCCCTCTAAGTGCTGGGCCCCACTGGCTCCACGAATAGCTGAAGAAAAGTTATTTTGTATGGGAGCAGATTGTCGGGCCTCCTTCCTATTTATACCGGAAGGGAGCCCGAGGGTGGGCGTGGACTACAAGTGTTTCAGTGCTGCGCGGGTGCGCAGGAGATTACCCAATAGCGATAGCCTTAGAGGGCTTCGCCAATACTCATGGAAGCTGGAGTTACAGTAGGTAACTTCAGTTTTGTCTTGTTTAGATCTGTGTGTGTTCCCTCCTACCTGTTTTCTTGATTGTGTTCACCTGTTGCCCCTGTGTTTTCTCCTCCCTCCTCACCTGTCTCTTGTTTCCTTGATTAGTCCTGTGCAGTGGCGAGCCGTGACTTTTATACCTAGGCCCTCTGACCCCCCTTCCCTCGAGAGAAAAAAAGAAGAGATACTACGTCACAGTGTATACTTCAGCGGAATATCAAAACCGCGGCCCGGGGTGCAAAAC